AAATATTTCTAAATTTTGACCTGATTTTGAGTTCTGAAAACGGCATCGTAATCTAGAGCCCAAAATTAAGTTTACGTGTTTGGCTGTGATATTTCAAAACTTAAAAAATTTCCTACAATACTAGTATAGATATGTATTTCGTTAGTATAGTACGGAAAGGGCCCAACTCACATTGTCGCTGAAATACAAAAAGCAGTAGCTAACTAAAAATCCAGAATTCACTTTTTGATTGATTATGAGGCATCGCATCGAATTGTAAGTCCCCTCATCGTTTTATGCGATAAAAAATTTTAGTTCGTTGTGGCCTTTAAGCATCTCAGCGACGTTGTGAGATACGCCCTTTCCATACTATACTAATGATACGTACCTCCAGATACGAGTAATATTAAAAAACTAATAATAATATTAAAAAAAAATATATATACATATATCATTATTTGGAGACAGAAAAAAAAAAAGAGTACGAGCGGCCAAAAATATTAGTGTTTGAGATTAGATCATTGGATGGAGTGTTTTCCCCATGTTTTTTTTTTATTTTTCAATCAAAACATCCGATTAGATAATATTGAGCTAAAATATGTATATATTTATCTTACCTTATTGCGTTTCGGATTGTAGGCTAAAAGTCTGTGCTGTAATACATACATACATATGTATGTATATGTACTTATGTACGAGTATATTGGTGCTTATTATTTTTATGGAATATTTAATAACATCAATAAAAACACATAAATAGTTAGAAAAAGTTTTATTCAGTCAGCAATACTATTTAGATAGTGACATTTACGCACAAACCAAAAATGATTAAAAAAAGAAGAAATTAACAAAGAAATTGAATATTCTTAAATGAATAAAAAATATTTGGAATATAATCAAATAATTAAATAAAATTTTTTAAGAATTTTAATTCAGTACTTTTAGTTTTGTCTTCAGGTACTGTGCCGCCCCAGTAGTTTTTAAAATTATTTTTATTTTTTTTTTTTTTTAGGAATTGTATAAAAATCAGTCTTTACTCTTTTTTTCTTATTAAATCATTTGTTTAGATGGAGTTTTACGATTCTTTACGTCATTTGAACCAAGTACTAAACTAAATTTTACAGAATTTTTGCAATGATTTTTTTTTTTTTTGTTTGTTTGATGTTAGCATAAATTGTTTATTATAAAATATCGTGGAAATTCAAAGTATTTATTTTTAATTGTAGGCTGTGGTTGCAATAATTAAATTAATAACTCTTGTATTTATGTTATGAATGCCTGACGGATTTCTTTGTTTTTTTTTTTTGTTTTGCATAATCTACAATTCATATCTTTGAAATCTTTTCATACAGATTTTTCGCTTTTGTACGTTATTTGATGTTGAGCCAAGTTTTTAAATGTTTACGCATCTAGCAAACTGTCGTATATATGTATTTGTAGAAAATACTTTTAAAAAATTATTTTTGAATCAAACTTTTCAGAAAATCTTACACTTGAAAATAGCTTTGCGTGTGCTGTTTGATTAATTTTTTTGTACTTTGTGTATTTTTCATTCATTCATGTTAGCGAGACATTCATTTATCTGGTGTTCGGTTTTCAAGAAGCAGAGATTTTTTCTTGTATTTTCAGCTTAATTTCTTGAATGAGCGTTTCAATCTCATTTCGCATTGCTTTTTTTGTTTCTTCGATATTTCTTTTCAAATAAGCATCGGTTCTCATTTCCGGCTTTATCAATATCTGTGAGATTTATGCTTGGTTGTTTGTCATATTTTAGATATGTATGTAACGTTTGATAAATTTATTTATATTTCAATGATGTTTATTTATTGCATTTATTTTATGGTCTTCAATTGTGTTTTCGTTTACTTGTTTTTTTTTTTCAAAAAATCATAATTTTTTTATATAACAAACCAATAAAATACAAACGAAAATATATTTGCAAACTTATGTATTGAGCATAATTTTTAACAAAAACTAAACAACTTTAACAAAATATATAGTAGTAGATATGTATGTATGTAATTCAAAGGCATTTCAAAATTTACCATTCCTTGGTTTATCCATTTGAATTCTTTCTTGCATCCAGGTTGGGCAACATTTTTTATTTTTTTTTTGTTTATATAAATTTTTTCTTTGTTTCGTTTCGTTATAGCAAACTTTTTTGTTTAATCATTTATAACGCCTTTCAAGCCTGTAAAGCAGAAAACTAAACTAGTATAATTATTTTGCTTAATTATAAAAATAGAATATGCTTTTGCTATGCCTCTATCTAGGCATTGCATACCACAAATATCACAGCAATATCACAGCTCTTTTATGCACTTACCATTCGTCTTCTCATCTTTTTCTATAGTTTATGTGAGCAGATTTATGTACCTTACTTGCATACCATTAAAATAGTAAATTTTCATTTGAAAGTAAAACTTCTTAACACACATTCTCTTTTTTGGTGAGGTTTCACAACTTTC